AATCCCGATGGGCTGGTACCGAAGTGGGCCGGTCGGATAAGTCACTAGCACATCCCCCACTCCCCCCGTTGACAATTTACTAGTTGTACCGAAGTGGGCCGGTCGAGAGTCCCGGGCTGATTTTTAGTCCCAGTCCACCACTGGCTACATGACCGTATGATCGCCCATATTGACGCACCTAATTCCTAAACTTCTAACAGATACAAAATAAACCGATCCTTCAGCCTCATATGAGCTCTCAGACACGTTCAAAATTAAACTGTCATCGCTGTCTGAGCTTGCTGCTGTGTGCGCCATCGTGCGTTTACATGCAGATGCTTGGATCCTGAACGGTGCAGCTGGAGCGCTGTGCCCGCATTGACGTCACCCATAATTTGGCGGGACTTGAAGAATCCCCGAGAAGATCCAGGAAATGGTCAACATTGAAGGGCAGATTAATGGTTATCAAAGTACAAATATCCAAAATCAGTTCAGTAACGGTTTTCAAGGGGACAATATTTACTCAAATTGATGGGTTTGGATGATGGGGGAAAATCGTGTCACAGGCTATTTAAGACTCATATACTCTCTCTCCTGCACACAGGAAAACCCTGATTGGTCCAGAGCAGTGATCAGGAAGTGTTGAATCCAGTTTGGGATTATGGGAGCATCTACATTGGGAAAGGCAGCATCTCTAGATGCTCTCCTCAAAGAATGCGCTCGTGCGTTTGGTAGGTGACCCTGAATAAATTGCAACCAAGTGTAATAATAGCAACTAATGAACATGTCAGGGACAGATACATAAGATATATCACGCTTAAGATACACAGACAATGACAAATGGCTCTTTATATCAGATTTGCTGACAACTAAAAGTTTCATCAGGACTATTCATTCAAATAAGTAATTAGGGAAACGGCCCATTTATGCTCACCACATAAACATTAACATTAAAACAGTGCCGGGTACATTAAGTTTAATTTGCTGACATTTTGTGACTCACTTCTCTCCATAGATGATAATGGGGAGCTGCAGGCCAACCTGCTCCCTCGCATCCTGCTGCTGATGCACCGCTGGTACATCACATCCTCAGAACTGGCGGGAAAACTCCTGATGATATATCCCATCTGGCAAAAAGCCTGGAGAAAGACACAGCTAATGCACATTAAAACATGGCTGTAAAGCAACAAGGATCACCTGAGTGCAATTCAGTTAAATAACACTGTCAGCAGTCATGTTACCAAAGCCTTTGTTTATGATTAATAACAAAGGGATCGTTTTCCCTATTACAAGTTAGAGGAGCTTCAAAATAGTTGGAGACTGTTTTTCTAAGATCAAATAATAACATAATGTTGTTTTAACAAAATGTTTAAAGATGCTGGCTATGTTTTCATGTTGCCCGAGATATTTACTGCAGTAATGTGATTCCTTAGATACATTAATTCCCACAACACAGGAAATCCAACCTTAATCTCAAAATCAAGAAAACATAGCAATTGATGTTTCATTTTACTACAAAGACTGATTTTCCATGACCTTTATTGGTGCTTTGGTGTTAATTTGAAATGGGCAACATTGATCCATGAGTAGGTGGCCGACAGGTGCAATTATTCTACAGCGGCCAAACACACTTCCATTAGCAAAACGCACTGAAGCTTAAAAAACTATCCAGATCAAAAATACAAATGTTCCAAAACAAATGCAAATAAAGCAACAGCTTCAACAACTTGACGACACATGTGCAGCGTTTACCAAAAGCACTGCATAAACGAAACACTGCAAGTACTAACTACCACTGTTGTTTTAACTTACCTAAAATGTCATTTCTGTGGACTTTACTTTGACAATGTGATCACATGATTCCTTCCGATATAATTGCAGATCTGCTGTAAACTGGCTAGCTAACATAGCTAACCCACTCATTTTAAATATACTGACAAAACACTTACCATTATGAAACAGGCTGTGATCACATGCGCTCCGGTCCCAGCTGTGTGCATCTCTTTTAGTGTCCCCTGGGTTCCGTTGTGTTTTAAGCTTATGCCAGCGTTTTTGCGTTTTGTTTATGCAGTGCCTTAAGTAAACGCTGCGCATGTGTTGTCAAGTTGGTGAAGATGTTTCTCTATTTGCATTAGTTTTGGCACATGTGTTTGAATGGTCGGCTACCAAGGTCCAGATCACTTGACACAAGAGTAAACCAACTGAGATAACTTTCTCTCTTCCATGCATCAATCTTTTTTAAGTAAGAACTACCATAAAGGTCAAATTAGATAAGCAATAGCCACTGCTTTGGAAGAGTTAGGAGAGGGGAAGGCTGGATTGCAATGTTTAAGTTTTTCACATTTTTGAAAAGTCCTTTACTGAAGCCCACGTATCGTGACTGCAAAGATGACAGCTGCCAAAGAACACGGTTGAAGATTTGTTATTTAATGAGGTAAGGTGCTACTTACTTGCAGATTCATCCATCACATCACATTAAACACTTTTTAATCTCGGCTTCTTGCAAATCTTAACTCTAGCCCTCAGAAAAGCCAATGCTATAACCTATTTTCAACTTATTTATGTGGTTATTAAGACTAGTTTTACAGTTTGGCTTACAATTCCAGTTTATGCAGAATCGAACTTAAAAATCAGACATCAAAAGACATTGTGTCTCTCATCTGCATTAAATATGACAATGAACATTATGCAATTGTTTTAACCTTGAATCAAACCAGTGACTTGAGTTTTGAGGACAACATTGCTCTAAACTGGGTCACAAAGGGTGGGGACATCCCACAATTGTAAGTTGTAAATGTGACGTAAGCTTTTGGGCACTTCCTGCACCATATCACAACACTACAAGGGCATCACATGTGAGTCACGGGTCACAAGTTCAAAAGGGTCTTTGTTTAGGTTAGTGGAAAATTCTTGGAGGTAAAATGAAATGTTTTCCATTGTGGCACAAGTTGTTTTTCCTCCCTCTTTGTACTGTCAAAATACTTGCTGCTGATGTCTCTATGTGTGTTCAGGTACTGGATAGTGACATTCCCTGCAGAGTTTAACCTGGACCTGGGTCTAATCCGGTTAACAGAGGAGTTCAGAGATGTGGCTGCTCAGCTGGGCTCTCAGGAACATTTCAAGCTACTCGACATCTCCACCATGTAAGACACGAATACACAGATAACCTTTTAAAAACTATTGGTCAGTGGTACAAAGTCTATTTTGCAGCTCCTACGTAACACATGACCACAAATAATTAAAGCACAATTTTTTTTAAATCCTTGTTAGCAATTTCACAAAATAGTCCATCCATCTGACAAGTGTGGTATATCAAGGCGTCGGTTAAACAGCATGATTATACTACACAGAAGTGGCGGCCGGCCCATAGGGGCGCTAGGGGCGCCGCTCCACCTCTTCCCACATTACAAATAAAAAAAAATATATATATATATTTTTTTTAATATATATTTTTTAAAGTATTTTTTAAAATTTTTAATGAACAAGGTAAATATTATATAATTGGTATCAGTAATATGTATAATCTACAATAAAATCTCGTTTAAAATGGTTTTACGATGTCTAAAGTTACTGATAAGTCCTG